GCTTTCGAGCGTTTTCCTTATAAAACGCCGTTTTTACCTTTCTTCCTGCACTAAATATAAACAACGATAGTATTCAGGAAGAAAACCAAACATTGCAGATATTTTTATCAGAACTCTGGTTTTACATGGCCTATCAACACAATTTAAAAACTGGTATAAAGTCAACACTTTTTCCGTCAATTGTTCCGTTTGTCCTGCTCACATCTCCAATGGTTGTACACGTTGTCATTGACGCCATGCCGCTTTGCTAGCTAAAACACCGGTGTCGGCACATAAGGACGCTGTCATAGCCTGTCAGCGACGTTGATTAGCTTTGTATATACAAATGTGAATCACATTATTGGCTGGACTATGGGATAAGGTGGCATCGTTGTAATCCCATACGGGAGCAGCCAGTACTTACTGACTAACACGGCAAAACAGAATTGTTAAAGTATTCATTTTAATTTCATTCAGGTTAGATTTTATTTCTGTGTGCAACGCAGATTTTCTGTGCGCAGAGACCGTGCCAGCAGTGCGCAATTGCGCACCCGCGCAGCTTAGAGGGAACATTGACTACAACTCATACACAAGATTTTACATTCAAACAAAAAATAAACAAAATTCTGTAATTACAAGTATTAAAGTATGTTAACACTTAGCTGTGTGTGTCAACGTCAGAATGCCTATCATGTTTTATTTGTGAAAAGAAGAAACTTCTCATTTTCAGATAATATCGGGTTTATGTAAATCTGTTGTGTTTAGGTTTGACACTTAAAAGAGAGTTTTATTTGCTTATGTGCCCCCACCCCCCTTGTTCCCCCTCACTTTACTAGAGAAAAGGATATTTAAGACTCTTTTATAAGAATATTGTCACCTAAAACAGACACAACTTGTATTACAAAGTATGTACAGTAAATATTTAAGATGTTATAGGTATTTTAACTAAGTCCATTTAATGCCCCGCTAGCTAACTTTGCACAGCGCTTCAGTTTAAGAAGAAATCTAATATTTTATAGTTTGTGTATCTACACTGTGATGGTGGCTATTAGGACTGCTGCAGGACTCCTAGCTACTGTATGACTGTGTGGTTCTGTATGAGTGCATACCGTAAGGAGGTCAGTGGGTATTTGAGGGAGTGCATGCACGTATGTGAGTGCTGGTGTGAATGTGGTGTGTGCAATAGTTTGTTGGTCTAGTGAACCAATATGCCAGCCTCACACACAGTTGTCCTGTTGTTAATCTAAATCTGTGGGTCTATGTCTTAGTCCAGGTCTCTTTCTGTTTCTCCCTCTTTGACTCCTTTTGTCTCTTTGCTTTGTTGGGACATACAGGGTAACATAAAGGGGGTGGGAGTATAACGTGGGGTGACTGGTGTGCCTGAGTATTGAACTCAAGTAATAATGAATTAGTAAGGCCTGTCCCAGCCTCACCTGTGGGTGTGTTCTTGTGTAAATAGATATTCTGTAGATGCCAATTAGCAAATATGGAAAAGATGATTAACTTACAGCATTGGAAGAGGTTCCTTAAAAAATAATATTAACACTTAATAAAGGTTTTCACTGTAAATCTCTGTTGTGCTTTTTAAAATTTATTATTTTAACCAAAGCTATGAAGTTTTTAAAGGGCAAACCATGTAAATGGATGAGACATGTGACAGTATATATAATAATAAAAAATACACATTATGGTTTATTCTCTGCTGTTTAGATGGCTAAAGCAGCCTTGCACCCTCCCCCCTGTCCGTTCATTTACCCACTGTATCGTTTAGGTTATGCAGATTTAGTTACTAATAAAACTAAAACTAACTCACTTTTGAGCATCTTTTCTCCTGGGACTTGGGCTTCTCTGTTGCATTGTATACATTTAGATGGTTAGTAAGTCTCATTATTACTTGTTCAAATCTGCTTGGAGTTTGGAAGAAGGATTCAATTAAACTGTATTTTATTTATATAGCACCAGATCACAACAGCAGTCACCTCGAGGCACTTTATATTTTAAGGTAAAGACCTTACAATGAGACAGCCATCTGTGGTGACCAGCAGGGGGTGAGGGGAGAGATGTAGGACAGAAGACATTTTGTGGAAGAGTAGGAATCCAAACTAGGAGCTGGTTAAACAGAAGACAGGCCTTAATTCTACTACTAGACAAACTCAGAAGTACAAGTCAGCCAGTAATCTAGGATCAAAGAGCTCTATTGGAGGGATATGGTATGGATGAATGCATAATGGGTGCATTGTAATGTACAGTGTTGCAGAAAAGTCAGTGTGGTCACAAAAGATTAATGGGTACATGGACATCTATGCAGAGTTTCACTTTCAGGCTCTAGTGATGAAATTTACTCAAACCCAAGTGGACTCGCTCAACTCAGTGACACTAAAAATGTAACACTTGCTTTAAACTTCTTAATTGACTCCATATTGGAGCTGCTCTTCCTTTGCAGGTAGAATTTCCACACTTATTCCAGTTGTTTTACAATCCAACCAATCTATGGTAAGCTTTCAATAGCTACTAACAAAACAAACAATCACCATCTTCCTGTTTTGGTTTTGCAATCATTCCTTCATTTTCCAGGAGCACAGAGTGGCAGAAAGAATTGCTGTTTGAAGGATTGGGACTTACAAGGAACTAATATCGAACCAGTGTCATAGTTTTAAGGGACTGCATTTTTCAATAGGGTTCTCTTTCATAATTATAATTTTTCTTTTGAAAAGAAACAGAATTACATCAGTGATATGGTCACATCTGCAAGTGCACGGGGTACACTTGGGTCAGGTCTTGTTTCTGGAAATTTTCTTTGCAACAGCTACACTCTAAAAAAAACTAAATGCAAATAGAAGTTAAGGAGCCAGTACACTGAACTCTTTATCATATGAATGAGATAAAGCTGCTACTACAAAATAAAAGCTTTGAAAGAACAAATTTAGATTTAAAAGAAGGAAAATTATAGAGTGTTTAGCAGTTGCATTAGTATTTGAAAATAAATGTATGTATGTATTTCCTTATTTATATTTATGTTTATTTATTTATTTATAAATGTAAAAGGGTAATAGTTTTTTCCCAAATACTTTCCTTAATAATTCAGCTGCCATAAAAGGCCACGTCTCACTTCATGTTGTAGGCAACCCAAATGAAAAATGCAGTTATGTTTGAGAGCTACAACCACTATGAGATTATGAAAGATTAACCTCTCACTCACAATAGTCCGTTTTTATCCGTCTCACATGTTTTGAGCGCAAAAGCAAAAGAAATTCCACGCAGAAAGAAAGAAAGAAGAGAATTATTGTTCCCATCTAGTGTTTTAAGGAGTAACACCAACAACCCCCTTATGGCAGCTCAGACTTCAAGCACTCAGTACTGCCAGATTTTCAACTCAGGAGTTGTGCTGTGTATGGCTTATGTGCCTTATGGGAATCTGTGGGGTATACGGGGGTGAGATGAAGAATAGCTTCATTTAGATTTAATTATATTCCAGTGCAGCTCAGTGTGTGAGGGCGTAAAATCACTGCAGTAATTCTTATTTTAACTGAATGATCAAGTGTTATGTTGAGCTTTTCTGTCACTGTACATTTCTTTTCTTTTCTTTTTCTTTTTAAACACAGATCATTTAATGTAAAATATAGTTTCTGTCAAACTCGCTGCAACAGGATGAGTCATGAAGGAAACGAAGAGAAAAACTGGAAGGAAGTTGCACAGGAACTAGGGCGGCAATTTCCCAACAAACTAAAAGTAGGGCAAGCGTGTGTTTGTGTGGGACAATGTGGGATACATCAGAAAAACAAAGTATGTGTGTACAGCTTTTGCATTAGTATGCCAAAGACATGTATAGGTCATTTAAATTCAACTTTTCCAACACCCTTGCTAAGTAAATAAGGATAACAGGAGCTCTTCATATAGTCTTATTTTTCTTATGGTCTTACTGTTTGGAATTCTGGTAACTTATTTCCAGTGGCTGTTCTGTCTGATAATCAACTTTTTTTCATCTCTTTTTCAACACATTTGTCAGTTCTAACAATTTAGAGCATATTATGAAACTCTTTCGTTTCTTTACGACATACCTACCCTTGTGCGAAATCAAAAAAAATAACTAGCAAAAAACCCCAAATACTCTGAGAATTTCTTTCCACTAACTTAAGTCAGTTAAAACCAGTATCTGGGTATCTGTTGTCACCTCAGTGGTTTTTCTTTGGGGTAGTTTTCATCATATTTGCTCAAGTACAGCTTATGACCTTGTGGTGACTTGCAAGTTCACCCACTGGGCAGAGAATTGGACTTATGGACTTAAACCATGATAAAGGTCTTAAATTGTGGAACAGAGAGATGAGGGGAAAAAATCCAATACAGTCCTATACCTCGGCATCCTATCTGAGATATTCTAGACAAAGATAAAAAAGTGCTGCCTACTTCATTTCAGTTTTTTAAAATATCGCACAACATAAAAGACCCAGTTGCCTTAAAGCGCTTTATGTTGCAAGGTAAAGACTCTACAACAATAATGAAAAAACACCAAAATTCAGATAAACCCTTAAGAGTGAGCACTTGGCAGCAGTGGGAATTAAAAAAAACTCCCTTTTACCAGGAAGAAACCTCTGGTGGAACCAGGCTCTGGAAGGTGTAGCCGTCTGTTTTTGGGGGGAAGGTTGGGGCTGAGGGGAGAGATGCGGGACAGAGAGCACACTGTGGAAAAGATATCCCACAGAATGAGCTTGGCATAAAAAGGCTGTATTCATATTCATCTTCTGAGATATTAAATTGGGTGGTGTAGCACTGGATGGAGAGCAGGCCATCTAAGAAGGTTGATGACTTGGTGAATGAGGCATGTTGTATTAAGCGCTTCAGTGTTTAAGTAGAGTAAAAAAGTGCTAATTAAATTAAGATCAAACTTCAGAGCAGATATCATATCTGCATGCATCTGCATTCGACAGACTGTACCTTTAACTCCCTGCCAAAGGGGGAAAGCGAGATTCAAATATCTGGCTCCGCCTCTGCTGCATGTCGTCGCGGAAATAGAAACTAAACAGGGCAAAACAAAATGGGAGCATCGTTGGATACTCCAGCGAGGTGCCCTCTCTGCAACGAGCTGACTCGGGACCCGGTTACTCTGAAGTGTAACCACAGTTTCTGCCAGCGATGCATTGGAGACTTGTGGAGCATTAACCCGAACGGGCCGTACCATTGTCCGGAGTGGAGGTGTAAAACCGAGTACCAGACTTTGCCGTTTCATAGCAGTTTGATACGGTCACCAACTCCCCGAGGACAAGCACAGCCTCGCAGCACTGCAGGTACTGTTAAGGTGATTAGGTTAACATTTAAATTGTAACCGGACGAGTGAAATAACGGCCCTTAAAACTACAAACGTGAAAGCGGGATTATAAACTAATGCTAGCTAGCTGCTAACGTCAGAGGTCTCCCGCTCACAAGCAAAATGGGCGTTACGCATATGTTCAGTACTGTAAACTAGACAACTAGACAGACTACTGCATACTTATAATCGCATTCTAGCTGTAGCTAGTAAATGTTCACTAGTTTACTTCTAATCCAAAGACCTTAATAAATAGCAAATAGGTTGCGCTTTCTAAATGGAAGATACCATTTGATCAACCTTAGGGGACGTAAAAGTACTATAAAACTAGTAGCACATGATGGTCTAATCTTTAATTTGCGGGAAAAAAGGTTTTAGCAAACCAGAACTTTGTTATGTGCATGTATGACCAGTGACAGATAAAGTAACATATTTTTCGATTGTATTCATTTATTGATGGATTATGTGAAATGAAGAACTCGCAGTTTAGGTTAAAAGACTATATTTTTGGTGTCTTTTTTTTTTTAGAGCCCAATTGTACCAGTGGCAGCTTCAGGTGAAGGCACCACTTGTCTGTTGGTCATGTAGTCGAGTAGGCATGCACATCCCTACTGCAAACAGCGCTAAGTTGTTGCGTTTTGTGTCATGTTGTTTGGCCAGGTCTCATCTGTAAAACAAATCTGATCTCAATGGGATGTGCTGGTAAATAAAGGTAAACAAATACATGTGCTTAACAGTGGATGGAGCCTGCAGGAAAGAAAATCAATAATACTATTTCTAGCATTTCTTTGGTGTTATATTATGTTGTTAAAAAGGACAACAGACAGAGGACTACCACTCTATCTATGATACATTATACATCATTGCCAACTGCTATACCATTTGGGCTCTAATCTTCTAATCTGTCGTAGTTAGAAATATTCATATTTAACTGTTTTTGTGAGACTGTTAGATTTAGATTTGAGTACTAAGCAACAATTTTCAGCATTTCAATGTCCATCCATTTTCTTAACTACTTATCCGACATAGGCCTACGGGAGTGTTAGAGCTTATCCCTTAACCCTTCTGACAACGAGTGAAAGACGAGGTACATCCTGGTTGCCAGGACTAACACAGAGCGAGAAAGCTGTAAATAGTTAAATAACTTATTCACCTAGTAATCACCAGTAAAATGCCTTTCATATAAAAGTTGGGGGAGTAAAAACCCATAATGCATTCTTAAATAAAGTCTAATTGAAGTAGTATAACATTTAACACTCAAGTGAAATACAGGTACCTCAGAATTTGATTGTATTACAGTTCTTGAGCAAATTTCCTTTGTTTCTTGCTGTCACAAGGTTTAAAACAGAATATTTTAAACAAAGCATTAGCTCTTGTGTAATTTAATGGGAGCAGTGTTCGGCATTTGTTTACAGTGTCACAGATCAAAGTCCAATTAAAACTCTGAGATCAAAGTTTGAACTCTTTTAAAGCAAATAGACAGCAGGGTTAAAAGTCTGTTTCTGACGTGTGATCATGAGTGTAAGCAGCACCTTTAAACCTTTAATGCACTGAACAGTTACATCTGTGTTGCTTACCTTCCTTCCTTACAAGGCAACATCATCACAGAACTCCTAAGTAGTTAGTACAAACTCAGCCTTCTCTAAAAACAGTTTTACTTATATTTTATTGCATTTTTTAAGGTTCATCCACCAGTAACAATGAAGAAAGTACATCTGACTCGAGTTTAAGGAGGCCATCGCTCACCAGCCGACTCCTCGGAAAGAGGAAGGCCAGCACACCTGTACCTGAACAGCCTGAAGCAAAGAGAACAACTGTCGAGAGCCCCCGTGCATGGCCCAGTGACACAGAGATTCCCACCACTTCCTTGTCAAATAACACTGGGAAGTCAACTGCCGTGGAAACATCTAAGAAAGTAGTAGAACCAGAATCTTCCCAATCTAAAGAGGGTGATGGCTCAACCTCCGAGGAGAACTCTGACAGCAATGGAGCATCTGCAAGCGGTGGGCCACAAGCCATCTCAGTCCAGCATAAATCAGAAAAGGCCATCATACTGGATGACTCTGACAATGAAGTCGACATATGTGATGCACCTCCTCCTGCAACCCCCAAGAAAGACCCGCAAGTAACTGGGGTATGTGTGACACCAAAGAAGCCTTTGTCAACTCCCACCTCTCACAGTTTTCCTGCACCCTCAACTCCTGGAAAAGATAAGCCTCCTGTGCACCATGCTGGCAAGTCATCTCCGATTCCAAGCAAAATTAATTTACCTGCTTCAGGATCCTCAAGTCATGTTGGCATCTTCTCCAGGGCAGAAAACAAAAGCGCCAGCCCTGTGCCCTGTCATTATTGTCCTAAAACTCGGTGTCAGTCTGCAGTGAAGACTTGTCTGGTGTGCGGGGCCTCCATGTGTTCAGAGCACCTGCGGCCCCACCTGGACACCCCAGTTTTCCAAAATCACACCCTGGTTTCTCCAGTGGAAGACATTTCCCTCTGGAGGTGTCAGGATCACCACGAGATAAACCGTATCTACTGTCGGCAGTGTGCAGTGTGTGTGTGCACTGTGTGTACCGTCATAGGTTCCCATCGTGACCACGAATGCGTCAGCATCAGGGAGGCAGAGAGAGAGCTCAGGGTGAGTGCTGCTGACTTAATGCACGTGAGATCTGATTTCAATGCATAGTACCTGAAGATAATCGGATGAGGAATAATTACACAGATACACATGGGGTAAAAACAAAAATATAGTGTTTTGTGGGAAAATCCCTTGCAGTGACCGAGCATCTGAAATATTTGATCTGATAGATATCAGAAGATGAGGTGCTGAGCTGGGTTAACTTTGGACTGGTTGCGTTAATGCGCCCCTGGAGTATAAAAGAAGCACACATCCAAAAATATTTCAACTCATCTGCTTGTTTCGACAAGCATAACGTTAAAACAAACACTGCAAGAATAACGCAGTCTAACACACAAACACAAGGCAGATAGGCAACAAACAAAATCATTACCACTGTAATCACTTTTTGTGCCCATAATGATCTGTAAGCAGGGTTATATTTGGCAATGGTGAGCCGGTCTCTAAAGTAATCTTTGCTTCTGTTTCCTGATATTTGGTTTCTTAATTTTATTCAAAATTATCTAGTTGTCTCTCTTGTCTTTCTGGGTGGTCATGTATCTTCAGTCTTTTGTTTGACCATTTATGATAGCGGATTATCTGAATATAGAATGACCGTTCCTATGAGTTTACTTGCTATTTTGACAGCCATTTTTAACTAATCATTCGTCATGTAACTTCTAGATGTATTGTAGGAAGTCTGTTATCTTCCAATTTACACTGTTGCCCCTAGCAGAGAAAACACAGGTCTGTTTATTCACATGGAAAATGTATATGGTTCAAAAAGTTGAGAACATGACAATCAGAGATTTAGAGGGATACCTTAATGGTTTTACAAGCAACAGCCATTTGTATCTAATTTAGTACAAAATAATGTTTTTCAGTTGATCTAAGCTACCAGCTTATTAAAAATAACCCTCATCATTTTAGGCTTTTCTCAAAATACCTCTTGGGACTTTATATTTTGGAGAATCTGCTCAAACTACTTTGCTTCAAATTCAAAGTGGCGAAGAACATACAGTGGGGCAAAAAAGTATTTAGTCAGCCACCGATTGTGCAAGTTCCCCCACTTAAAATGATGACAGAGGTCAGTAATTTGCACCAGAGGTACACTTCAACTGTGAGAGACAGAATGTGAAAAAAAAGTCCATGAATCCACATGGTAGGATTTGTAAAGAATTTATTCGTAAATCAGGGTGGAAAATAAGTATTTGGTCAATAACAAAAATACAACTCAATACTTTGTAACATAACCTTTGTTGGCAATAACAGAGGTCAAACGTTTACTATAGGTCTTTACCAGGTTTGCACACACAGTAGCTGGTATCTTGGCCCATTCCTCCATGCAGATCTTCTCGAGAGCAGTGATGTTTTGGGGCTGTCGCCGAGCAACACGGACTTTCAACTCCCACCACAGATTTTCTATGGGGTTGAGGTCTGGAGACTGGCTAGGCCACTCCAGGACTTTCAAATGCTTCTTACGGAGCCACTCCTTTGTTGCCCGGGCGGTGTGTTTTGGATCATTGTCATGTTGGAAGACCCAGCCTCGTTTCATCTTCAAAGTTCTCACTGATGGAAGGAGGTTTTGGCTCAAAATCTGACGATACATGGCCCCATTCATTCTGTCCTTAACGTGGATCAGTCGTCCTGTCCCCTTGGCAGAAAAACAGCCCCATAGCATGATGTTTCCACCCCCATGCTTCACAGTAGGTATGGTGTTCTTGGGATGCAACTCAGTATTCTTCTTCCTCCAAACACGACGAGTTGAGTTTATACCAAAAAGTTCTACTTTGGTTTCATCTGACCACATGACATTCTCCCAATCCTCTGCTGTATCATCCATGTGCTCTCTGGCAAACTTCAGACGGGCCTGGACATGCACTGGCTTCAGCAGCGGAACACGTCTGGCACTGCGGGATTTGATTCCCTGCCGTTGTAGTGTGTTACTGATGGTGACCTTTGTTACTTTGGTCCCAGCTCTCTGCAGGTCATTCACCAGGTCCCCCCGTGTGGTTCTGGGATCTTTGCTCACCGTTCTCATGATCATTTTGACCCCACGGGATGAGATCTTGCGTGGAGCCCCAGATCGAGGGGGATTATCAGTGGTCTTGTATGTCTTCCATTTTCAGATGATTGCTCCCACAGTTGATTTTTTCACACCAAGCTGCTTGCCTATTGTAGATTCACTCTTCCCAGTCTGGTGCAGGTCTACAAGACTTTTCCTGGTGTCCTTCGAAAGCTCTTTGGTCTTGGCCATGGCAGAGTTTGGAGTCTGACTGTTTGAGGCTGTGGACAGGTGTCTTTTATACAGATGATGAGTTCAAACAGGTGCCATTCATACAGGTAATGAGTGGGGGACAGAAAAGCTTCTTACAGAAGACGTTACAGGTCTGTGAAAGCCAGAGATTTTCCTTGTTTGAGGTGACCAAATACTTATTTTCCACCCTGATTTACGAATAAATTCTTTACAAATCCTACCATGTGGATTCATGGACTTTTTTTTCACATTCTGTCTCTCACAGTTGAAGTGTACCTCTGGTGCAAATTACTGACCTCTGTCATCATTTTAAGTGGGGGAACTTGCACAATCGGTGGCTGACTAAATACTTTTTTGCCCCACTGTAGCCTGAAGAACAAAAAATATGTAACTGTCCAGCTGTGAGCATACAGCACTTGTGGCTAAATATAGATATAATCAAAGCCATAGACTCGTGACTTGTTTTTAAATCTTTGTGGACATTTTTCCTCAGGGAAACCTGAAAGAAGAGATCAAACAACTGCAAGAGGCTGAGCAGCAAGTGAAGGACCGAGTGACTGAGCTCGCTCAGAAGAAAGAGACTTTCAAAGTGAGTTGGCTAAGTATGTTGTTAAATATACATATGTTCGTTCTGCTTAGCCGCTAAGAATTACAAGAGATTTTCTTTCACACCCATTGCATTGAAATTTAAGGGTTTTTTATAGAAGTGCATATAATTGGCTAAAATTAGTTAATAAACTTCTCCAGTTCTTTGTTTCATGTCAGAATAGGAAGACTTTATACAAGTAATACAAATATTAGGCGGCTTTGTTTGAGAATGTAAAGAAATTAAGCTTAAGGTTTTTAGGTTAGGGTTACATGGTTGATTGCTGCCCCCAACTAAATACTTCTCCTTGAGTGATAGTCATTCATTCATTCAAGTGATTAATTGACGAGCTGTTTGTTTTTTTTTGTATTTTTAGGGCACTAGTCCCAGGGTGCTACATTGCAGCACAAAGCTTTATTAAGTTGCAGCAACTCTTAAATAGAATCTAACACTGAAGTGAGTGGCCGTACTAAAGTAATTCTTTTTCCCATCTGCAAGTATGCTAAAGTCCAAGTGGGATAAATGTTACCATGACTGTGAGGGTCCATGCAGATGTCCGTCTCCCTGCCTGTTATTTTGACCGTGCAAACTCTTCTGCAGAGACCATTCTGTTTACGACTTACCGAGTGTTGCCACTTCCTTCCGACTCTTAGGAGGCAGCCTTGAGTCATTTCTGTTGCTCAATCTGGATTTTATTTTGAGCTGAGGAAACCAGTTAATACAAAAAAGGAAAACATAAAAATGCCATGTTTGAAATTTAAATAGACTGGAAAAGCATCTTACGTTGAAATCTTTGCATTTCTGAAGTGTTGTACGGTGTACTAGTAATCGGAAATGAGTAATAACTAACAGCAAAGAAATGCAATACTACCGCAATACTACTACATATATTTATACTGTGTCTGTCTAGGAGGTTTTGAGTGAAGCACAAGCAGGAGTGAAGCAGCAGTACAGTACCATCAAAGAGGCCTTGGAGCAGGAGGAGCAACTGGCTCTTCAGTGTGTGAAGAAGGAAGAGAACAGAGTTTTGGGGGGACTAGAGGAGAAACTCTGCCACCTCCATAGCTCCCTTCAATCCATCCAACAAGGCCTTCACATGCTGGAGAATCTGGCTGACACCAGAGGCGACAACTCTTTTAAGGACCAGGCCTTCATCATGGTCAGATCATTTTTGTTGGCTTAAAAAATATATGCATATATTTACTGCTGAATTATTAATGTTTGCATAGTAAAATGCCTTTTCTTTTTTCTGACATTGCAGGAATACAGCAAGATTGCCCAGCTGTAAGTAATATGCTTTTAACTTCTGCTTTGCAGCAGTAAAATTGTCCGCTTGTTGAACATTTCACTAGCTGAATTAGGGCTGCTCGATTATGGCAAAAATGATAATCACGATTATTTTCACTGAAATTGAGATCACGATTATTTGACGATATTTATTTAA